CTCAGTCTATGGCTCAGGTATACCATGAAAAGCTGAGTTGGAATGAAATGGTGCCCCGGTAGCGTAACTGGTAGCGCACTTGCCCGGAAAGCGAGAGGTGCGGGTTCTAGTCCCGCCTGGGGCGAAAGTTTTGTTCACAACCCAGCATTCTTGTGAAACATTACAGATTGACTTATGCTAAAGCTTGAGGTTAAGCTTGGCTTAGGCTTAGGCTTGCAACGAGCAAATAAGAAGTGGCCTAACCTGACCTGAGGATACACCCCCAAAGTTCTAGTGAATAACAGGATCACTCTGTCAATATCACTGACTGGCATGTTACTAATGTGGTGACGCCATTTAACATCCTCCTGGTGGCTCTAACCCAGTTTAGTACTTCGCTTGTTAAACTCAACTCGTCCACGATGTCCGAGAAATTCATGCGTTATTTGCCTCGGCTTCTTATTTGAAATTTCAATTTTTAGGCGTGACTGCTGTACCCGATGCATCTCAAGAAATGGGCGGAGACTACCTAGACAGTGCAGAAATACTCCCTTCACCAGAACAAGCTGGTCGTTTTTTGAGTGATGGCGATTTGCAGGTGTCCAATCGAGCTAAAGCTGCAGACGCCCACGAGCATATGCCAGGAAGTGGCGATTACTTCACCAGTTCTAAGTGGTCAGGCTACGGTGGAGCCAGCTCAAGTGATCACCGCGGTAAGCCCTACGTGGGCGCTTTCGGAGGATCGCGACTGGAGGAGATCACGTCCACCGTGATCCCGGGTTTGAAGGTCTACCAGAAATCAAAACTTGTCGATTCTCAAGAAATACCAAAGTACCCGGGACCACAGGGACTCACTTCCGCAAACTGTCCGTTGAAATGTGAGCCTTGTGTTTGCACAAAACAGGAGAAGATACAGGAACGGCGGAGAAGAGACACCAACACCGTGGAGCTATCAGTGCCATTGGGAGCTTGCAACACGAAGCGCGACAGAAAAGTGAGTTTTCGCCTTTTCCTTTTCTTTTGGTATGGGACAAGATGTTAAGTGGACATGGTAGCGATCATCGTGCAGTACAGAATTGCTAGAACCGAACTTGTCAGCCAGAGCGCGCCATGAACACGAATTTTCGCAAAAAATCGTTCAGAAATGAGTGTGTTTCCATGCACAATTGCTTTGAGCTTTTAATAGATATGGAATTGATGCCAACTATGTGCTTGCGGTTCCTACTACATAATTTGTCTATGTCAAAATCGTGTCGCCTACCAACTATAGATTGTATAGGAGGTATAAAGAGAGGCCTCTTGGCAGTAAAAAGGATAAAAGGATGAAGCATTTGCCGTTGATCAATCCCTTTTTGGGATGCGGCACGCATTCTACTTCCATTTGTACATTCGTAGTGGCGTTTGAATGCGATGTGGCCTATACAATGACTTGCGGGGGCCAGCCGATGTTCAAGTCAGTGTTTTTTTATCCTCCCAGACAAGTCTGGTCAGTCACCAACCGATTAGGGTGAAGGTGGCGTCCGTGCGAACTCAGGCCCAGGATTGGATCGGTTTGACGCTTTGCGCGTGGTAGCGTGCCACTTGCACTACACCATTCGCCCTCTGGCAGTGGAGACCAATATGTGAGGACCCCCTAATTTCTTGCTTCTATTAGTTCACATATTCATTGATATTGTAATTTCAGTATTGCGGTATGTGTTACATGGTGGGTTATTTAAAGAACCTTTAACATTTGACCATGGCAACGAGGATTTCGATAGAATAAATTGCCATGAATTAAGGATGCATTCGACATTCCCGAAGGGCGACTAGACGTTTGACCTTCTGTTGATAATTGTAAGTTGCGGCTGCGCGCTTGTTTACGTACTAAGCTTTGCCTTCGCCTTGTCCTGTATATCTGTCCATGAGTAAGGTGCGAATTGAGTTTATTGATGACCAAAAACCTTCAAAGCTTAGCCGTCGGTCTTTTTTTCAGTGAGGGCAACGAAAATGCGTTCGGCGTATCCCGGAGGCTTCGCAAAAAGCTTTCGAATGGAAAAACGCAACAAAATTGCTCTCATGATGCTTCCATTAGTAACACGATAGGCAACGCGTTATTAAGTGAGACGGGCAACCAGCCGCGAACAAAATCGGCGGTCATCTAGTCGGCTGAAGGGCTCGACACGGGGTCGACAATGGGCAAAAGCGACCACACATTACAAGCGCATTCGGACCAGAATTGCACACGCCAGCAATGCAGATCGAATATTTCTGGGTGGTGACAGGAAACTCCTGCAGGGCGCTCTTATAAGAAAAAGTTAGAAAATAGCAAAGAATTAGGGAAAGCGAATACCTGCTTCCTTTGGTGCAAGGACTGCTATGTGGTTTTGTTGGAGGCTAACAGGTGCCGCACAGGGAAGCAAGCGGTCCTCATCAGGACTCTCAAAGCCACATCACGCCGCGAGAATGCGACATTCACAAGCCATCTTTTACCATACGCACAGTAACGTATCTCATCCACATCCAGTGAAATGTCTTCTGATTCAGTAGCGCGACATGCGCTTGAGAATCCTGCCGCTAATTCCTTCTCTCTTCGTGACCAAAATACACACTACTATTTTTGAAAGCAGAAAATTCAACACTTACACTGGCAGTAAAAAGGAAGAGAATTTGTGGGAAACGCTTAGGTTGAACCTTGCTGACCTCAGTAATGCGGGGCGCCAGTTAACAGCTTGCCCTGGACGGGGACATTGCGCTGCTGCGGCTAAATTGGCATGGCCCTAGGGTCTTTTCGGGTGATTTTCATGCACAAAAGTGCCATATCTGTGACTGACCTCTAGGGGTTTATCCTCAAGACCAAAGGGAATTAATCACATTACCTCTGTCCGTGTTGTGCATTTAATGCCGTTCCTCCTCGTTAGAAACAGATGAGCCATTGCATTACTTGCAACTGTGCAGAGAGCACCACACCCATGCCACAAGGACGTTTGGTTAGCATAAATTTAGTGCTCCCGCTGAGTTGAGTACCTTAGCGACAGCGCACATTTTCGCATTTATTAGCATGCGCCTCTGCCGCTAATTTCGAGGGCGCGGTGTCATCAGCCTCATGGATTTTCGTATAGCATACATTATACGATTCCGTTACAAAACCCTCTTTCCCACTAGCAGTGAAGGAGGCTGGCTTGGGGAAGAGGCACGTACAAACAAGTTTTCTGAAGATATCAGTCGTTCTATCGGTTGATACGGCAATCAACCTAGCTGATTTCACACGTTATGCCAGCCATGCACCACATCCCAAGGTGGGCGGTCGTAGCGGGGCCAGGCGGCGATAGCGCATAGTACATGCCCTGGGGCCTTATTACTGCGCCGTTTCGGGTTTTGAGTGTGGGAACATCTCTACGGGTGCGTAACCAAGTACAGGCATGACCGAAAGGGTTGGTTTCGGTCAACTAATCCTGACCTTTGCCTTTAAAAGAAGAAGGTTCACGCTACAGTAGAAGTCGAAGAAGGAAAAACATATTTTTAGGAGAGGGGCAGGACTGCTCAGGGCAGGTCAATCGTTCGTCAGGCCGATACAGACGGGAATCGTTGTTAGCACTCGGGATGGGGAACTCGTAAATGTAGAGAACGCTACGAATGAAAGTGCGGTCGGCACTGCCAATAAACGGAAGTGGGACCAGGGAAGGGGTCTTTCCATTCTCTGGCTTTCAGCAATAACACAACAAAGATCAGAGTAGCTATAATAAGATTGAAGTTTTTGAATGATTGCGCGACTTCGAAAGCACAGGCGCATGCGTGAAGTGTCCAAGAGCGGTGATTGCTAGCGTTAAGCGATTTGATTCATCTTCAAGGGAAGACATTGCATTGGAGGGGTTTAGATGTTTGCAAACATAAGTGCACGCAGGGGACTGTACTGATATGGACTGCTCTCGTAATTCAAAAGTAAAATATTCAACGAGGAGAATTTTCTAAGGTGTTCGGCAAAAAATGGACTTCTGCTCCTTTAACACGTTGACGACACGCCCTTGTGCGCGAACCTACCCACCTTATTTTACAAATTTGCATTAACAGTTACTACATTACCAATAATTTCATTAGTGGTAACGAGAGAACTATTTTTCGTATCCAACAGTAGGAAGGGCCAGTCTTGAAGCATGAAAATGGAGGCACAATTTAGGAAAAACAAGTCTCTTTCCGTGTGAGAGTGGTAAGGAACCAAATCACCTCAAATACTCTAGTGGCCGCTTCCTTTTGTCCCTATTTACACTGTCAAGGGAGTGTTGACGTCTGATGTTCGCTAACAACTCGCCGTCGCCCTGACAAAGATTTCTGTATATAGGAATCTTAAGATAATAAAAAATGGTCCTAGACGAGCTGACTGTGGCGAATGATCGAAGTTAAGAGTTTTGTGATATGGAGTCTTAATAGCAACTTTGCATTCTTTAGTTTTTTTCCCATCGGCCGCACCATAATCCCTCAGCGAAAGTTTACATACATTCCAGAAACTCAGAAGCCGCGTTCGCCCAAAAAATATTTTTTTCCAAACGTAGGATATTCTTGATAAGTTCTAACCGCCGGGAAGTTCCGCTATGGCTGCCGAAAGAGAGAGCCGCCTGAAAATTATGCAAAATCTCTCTTGTCAGGTCTCTCAAAGTCGCATATAAAGTAAGATATGCCTTTGGAATTGAGCGCATTTCTACGGAATTCCAGTTATTACTATAACAGAATGACTGTAGAAACCTCAGAAGGAACATGGAACGTTACTGAAAGGAATGTCAAGTGGATCCGGAAGCCGTTCACATTTTGTAAAACATCAATTTGGAAGGAAGCTAGGCTCATTTCAAAGGTGTTACTTCACAGCCACCTCACTATCGCCATGCCTGCGTAGCGTCGTGCATAAGACGGAAGGTGTCGTGAGAATTCTTGAATTCGCCCGGAAGTGGCGGTTGATCCATTGGAAGACAAACACTATTCGGACAATGATGTGGATGTATTTTGAAAAAAAAAAACATCGGATTTAGTATAGTCTACAGAAGTTCTTTTTCACCACCTTTTTGTCATCTTATGAATCGCCTCGAACGAATTTTCTTACTGCATCTCCAATATGCCTTCATAGAAAAGAAAAATATGACTGCAACCGATTCATTGTCCGGATCAGCCGTTATTTGCGCTGTCTAAAAGTTTCGTTTGAGTAAGGCCATCAGATGATCACTGTGATGAAAAAAAAAAACAGTGAACAAATGGCAGAAGCAGATGTCCACAAAATACTAACTTTACCTTCCAATTCATTGTGTTCACATCAGACGGTTTTCGATTGCAGTTATCGCCACCTACTCTATCGGTGTCGTTCGTCGCGGTCATCTCGTTCCACGATTCGTTTATCACAAAACTCGATCGCGCTTACCGTATTCAATGTGCCTATTGGAGGCCTAACAAGCAATTCTTCAGTCACTCACTAGACGTTGTTGAGTGAAAGGCCTTACCACAGAGTATTTGGCTTACTTATAACTTGACTGAATCAGATCGCCAGTGATATAAAGACTTTTCTCCTTCTATTGCTCGTTCTGCCTTGCAGATACCTAACAAAGCGCACTCCGGTACAGCGTGACAATAAGCTCGCCTAATCGCATGGAGTGAAAGGTCAAATTAGGGCAAGGGAGCACTCAGTGTTATCCTTCTATTTTATAAAGCGCTAACTTTGTGTGTCGGTTTGTGTATCTGTATGTGTGTGTGTGTGTGTGTGTGTGTATGTATGTATGTGTGTCCGTCCGCAAAATGAAGTGAGTGAGAAGGAAGCTCATGGGATAAACAAACCGCTAACAAATCGGGTAGCTTACAGGATTTGAGATATCAATGTTTTGTAGCAGGATAGTTGTGATAACACTCTTAGGGCTATATAAACACCTGCTTAGCACACTTCCGTTCATTCCACATGGTGCTGCAGTGGCAGCTGGAGGGCAGTGGAGAGAGGAAGGGAGGATGAGGAAGGGAAGCGAAAAATCTACCGTCATATCATGATTGTGTCCCTTCTACTGTTTGAAACACCATTGTGTTGCATACGCGTCACTTCCACGAGGTGTTGGTGTCACAGGAGGAAGGGACCATAGCGGAGGATAGAAAGCTTGCGCAGGAAAGGAAGGTCCCGGCGGTTGACGGGACTAATCTGGTCTCTTATATTGTAAGATCCTGAAAAAGGGAAGATAGTTTTGGAAAGCGGAAGGTTTGCGCTTCCTGATGGTCTGTTTAGTTTTCTTCTACAGCTTTTTGGTTGAAGAGATAATTGCGTCGAGGATCTATCGAGGACGGATCCGGCCACCTGGAAATCCGCTCCCTCATTCACCATTGCAAGTGTGACTCGTTGGCAACACTCGGAATGTGTCTAGAACAATATCTTTGAACGCAAACAATAAGAATAGGAGCAATCGTCATCATCCGATTTGGTATTGGTATAAGCCATGCATCCCTCCTCCACTCACAGTTGCAGAATCGATTGAAAGGTGTTATATGATGGGGACCTTCGAACGAAACTGTATTGTAGTAGACATAGTGTGTTGTGCTATTCCTGTAACCTAAAAAACAACTTCATTTGCCCAGCGCTTTTTCTTCACGGTTGTCGTTTTTCCGACAGGGTCCCTAACAACAGCGTCATTCTCAGCGAGGTATTAAGGGAGAAGGAGCGAGTGATAGGCGGAGGAGGTGCCTTTGCAGCGCGTGCGCACATGTGGCACTCTTCTTTGCGGGGATGCACTTTCATTCTTTGTACTGCCTTCAAATACGCCCTTCTCATGAAGGTGGAGGAATGGAGCGACTGAACCTGCAAAGAAAATAATATTACCTATCTGCACCATGATACCACTTCTGTTACTGACCCCCAAGAGTACGACCCCCCATGGACCAGCCCAACAGGTACGACCCCCCTGTCGAGGATTTCCTCGACCGATATTCACCCTGGTTTATGTATACTGGAGCGAGAACACTCCTTTGGACTCCCAACTCTCTATGGAGATAGTATAATTAAGGTGAACACTTATTTCAAAGCATTTTGATCAAGGACCGGTCTGTCCCTCCCATGCACGACACATCCTGCTCTCATCCTAGACAATTTCCCAATGTGATCATCCCACCTGTAGAACCTACTTTCGTTGCCTACAGCAAGGACCAAATCTAAACGCAAATCTGTAAAAAAATCAGAAAAAAAGCCCTACGACGCAGCGGCGGGCCCCGGCCTGTCCTTTGATGCTCAATTAGACATCTATTCGTATACTGTTCAGAGAAGCTCCCGTACATTTGCTTATTCAAAAAGTAATTTAGGTTTATTTGCAGTACGCTGGCGCCGTCGCAAGTTAACGGGACAGCTCCGCCACCTGTCTGTGGTTATCATATCTCTGGCGCCAACGGTCAGCAGATTCCAAAACGTTCGTGTTGGCGATCAGGTAAAACACGAATGGATCTGCACCACGTCGGCACCAAGTGAGTAGCTATCGAAGGGGCCTTGGTCCTTCTGTGTTTGAATCTCTTTAAATTGAAGTAAACAGGCATTTTATCCTTTATCTCTACAAAGCATCACAACAAACCCGGATCAAATTGATGAGGTAATAGCGGTTGATAGTGAGGGCGAAAAAAAAGGGTGAGTGCCGAAAATACCAGAAATTAAATGGTAAACATAACTCTGAGCAAGTTTTTTCGAATTGTCGATCATTCGAGTTTCGAGAAGCAAGCAGATTACCAATAGCTATCACATTCCCATGACATGTGTAATTCAAGATAGTAATGAACAGAAAACGATTTGAGGTGTAGGAACTAATCTTTTGCCGGATGATAAGGGCCTCTTTCTCTAAAGATGTGATGTCGCAATGAAATCATTAGCTTGTAATGTTTCGATCAAAGCTCTGCCTACAGTAAATAGTGACCCGTGCGAGATGTAAAATGGGACAGCTTTCACCACCAATGAAAATAATTGAGGCGCCCGCAAGAAAGAATCTTACCAAACATAACAGGCTTTTAGAATGATTGAAGTTCACTTCACATTACTTTTACGTTACAGCTCCTAAAACAGCTTTTTCAGAATTATACTCTATGCTGATCCACTCATGCTACATTGAAGACGGTGCTGGTCAACGTTATCAAGTCATTGATAGAATGGTGGTAAATTTCCCATTTTTTTTTCGACATGTACTCTCGCTTCTCTCGAAAAAGGCTGACTCAGAATTGACCTCTTATCTTCCCTGTGATAGCATCGGAAAGCATGTAAACAAAAGGAAAGAATCCTTGCAACTACAGAACTGATGATCCCGTTTGGCTCTAAACTGGGGGGGGGGTGATTGACCCTGGAAATTTTATTCTAAGTTTAGCCTTGGTGTGCGTGTGGCAATGTGCCGCTAGTACCGTAATATGAATGTATCGAAAACGGATTTTCAATGAATTCCAAGTCCAGTCACTTGATCTCGAGTTTGTTAAGATGAAAGTTTTATTCTGGCCAACGTTTCGACCGTCCCCTCGTTTTTAAAGGCTCAAACATGGCTCAAAGCTTACGAAGTGCACACACTACCCTATCTAATGCACACCATCCCTTAAACGTTTCCTCCCCTCTAGCGTCTCTGACGTACTGTAAGGGCCGGCAGCTTGAACACCTCACCATCTGCAAAGCTAAGTCTCACCTGTCCACGTCGTAAGTGTAGCGACAGCCCATACTACCCGTCAGGAATATAGTACGAATGATGTTCTTCGCTGTCCTTATACAATATCAGGCGGTCGAGGGACTACGACGAAGGAACTGCGCAAATGTTGCATGATGCAAGAGGATCATTTGTGATGGAGACACGCACTCATTTCGGTTATTCATTTCTGGATTTGTGGCTGAAATCCAAAATGCTTCCAATGCCTTCCTCGACGAAATCTCGGTCTCGTGAGCCAAAATCGTGCACCTAATGTTGAAGTCATTGCCATCATGCTGTTCTACTCTGTGTTTTCCCAACGGTGTCAACACATTACAGCGCCGTTTACCAGCTAAATGTTCTTTATAATTGCGCACTGATAGAACTCTCCCAGTTTTCCCTATATATGTATACATGCCTCCACACTAAGCGAACAATACAGCTTTGCATTGCAGTAGTTGCATTGCAACTTTATCAGAGATGAATGGCAAGCATAGAGGAACCTTATCTCGGCGTGGTGTGTTTTTGCTGCTGTCAACGCGGGGTCTTCCAACATGATGTGATACCGTATAGCCATTTGATCGAGCTATGCTTGAAGCTAACCGTTTTGATTCTTCACGTTCGGTTACATCGCTGCACATACTTCCATAATCAGCGAACGTGCTTGTCCGCTATACTGATACTGTATAAGGACAGCAAAGTAACATCATTCGCTACTAATGTTTACTAACTGAGTGTAGTATTTCGCTACACTTCGCGGTGGAACAAGGTGAGCTTAGCTTTTGAGTTCTGGGGTTTTCCGTGCGTCCCTGACAGGACGTCAGAAACGCTAGAAGGGAGGAGGCGTTTGATAGGGTAGTGTGCACTTCTAAGCTTTGAGCCATGTTCAGGCCTTGAAAACGACGGAACGGTCGAAACGTTGGCCAGAATAGAAGTTCCACCTTAACAACCTCGAGGGAGGATCTGACTGAATTTCAGTAGATCGTTTTTTCACAAATCACATGAATATCGGTAGATTACATATTAAAAGGGTAGTCAACCAGACCATGATGCGGTTATTATGCCATCACTCATTTCCAGGTGTTCGCTGGATCATTACATTCTCAGGACACCAAACTACGACCCAGACAGATTGACGGCAACTGTCGACGCGTTTATGATGAAATTTCCGGACAGGTATGTGCTCTAAATGGGGTTCGGTTTACAATACTATAAATTCTATGTGAGTTCGGACAGTAATTCGAATGGGGATGATCGGGCAAGTTCCTATGTTCATGGGTAAGAATAAATTGCATTCTAGTGGAGAGAATGAATCTTCTTCTTCCTAACGTTGTTCCGCTGGTGCAGGGTCCGTTGTTCGGATCGAAGTGCGCCATTTTGTTCGATCCAGGGCATCTTCGCGGCGCAATTGTGCGATTTCATATCCTCGTTGATCGTGTCCTGCCATCGCTGCTTTGGTCTCCCACGAGGTCGTTTGCCGTCGACTTCGAAGCGATATACAGTGGCAGCGACAGTATTAGGTGCAGCTCGCATGACGTGGCTGTGAGAGAGTGGTTCGTTTTGCTTCTGCCTCGAATGAACCACTGTCTACCGTCACACTCTAAGGGCTCTTCAGTGAGGTAGGGATGATAAAACACTAGCATTAAGGATGTTGAAGTAATACTAGCAATACAGTAAGCTTTGGGAAACAGAATATGTTAATGAAATGTTGTTTTGAGCGAATCTCCGAATCTTGCTTATTGTTAGCCCTGAAGGAATTGTAAGAGGCTGAGAATTTTCTCCACAACAGAAGTACCATGGATTTCTTTCTTCAATTAGTAGTCATAAAATCACGAAAATCACCTATCAGCTGCAGATTCAAGGGGGAGTATTTCAATATACACATAATGAGCAACATACCTTGGCCGAAAGTGCGACTGCTTGATAAACCCTTCCACAGGCATCTGAACCGTCATTGCATAAATAGACTTCTGGAGTGTCGCTTACTCTTGTCCCCTGCAGAGTCCTCTTGATGTCCAAGTCTACCCAAAGATAGCTGTGCACTTGTTCGGTGATACTACGACCTTCTCCCTCACTCCTCGTTCCAAGAATATTGGAGCATCCCAGCATCAGTAGATTCATGAGAGGATCAAGTCCAACGAAAAATTCCTGGATTTTTTTTCTGGTTTTCCATTTCACCCATGGATCTTGGCATACTCAAGTATTCGCTTCTTTGTTTCCGAAACGGCTTATTGCTTCATTATCTATTCTCAAAACAGGGGAGCCGTTTGGCGTTGGACGGAGCTTTTGCAAGTGGCAGTCCTTCCACTGACCTTTGGAATTACTGGGAAATTCAAAAACGCATCTCACCCTGTGGAAAGCCAGCAGATGTTGATCTCACTATTTTGTGCAAGTGTCTTGTGTTTAAAAATCAAGTCAGTAGGAATCACAGGCTAGTAGGCGTTCACTCTCATTCAAAAGAGTTGCTTTTAATTTAGATCCTCAGTGGACTTCCAGTGCGCCATTCAAGTCTGCTCGAAGCTCGATCAAAACTGCACAGCAATCACGGTGAGCATGTTGTCCCACTTGACTAGACTTACCTTTGCGTTATCTTGAAATGACATCAAAACGAAGGATTCAAAGTTGATTTTCTTCACTTTACAGCAGGGTCGCGGGAGTTATTTGAGCTTGCTGGAAAAATCGCCGCCTCAACTATTTTTATAATTATTTCAATTAAAACCCTGGATAGAGCATCCTCGCCTACAGCTGGAGACGATTGCGAGTAGCTCGGGCGGAGACAGGGGAGCAAATAGAGCGGAAGTGCTAGGCGACGCATTGAAAGAATCGAATGAAATTGTTCAAATTTGAAAAGGTGTTTGAATTTGGAGAGTAGAGACAAAACGATTGATAGAGTGGAAGAGAGATGTTTTTGAGAGAAGTGGAAAGGTCAAAGAGTTTCTAGTGAAGACACTCCGGAACCAAGCGGAATCGCTCTCTTCGTTAACGTTTGTGACAGATGTACGGCGGGAATTTGAATGCCTAACTGTGCTTCTGGTTTTCCGACCTGTTTGTCAAAACTAACAGTTGTTTTTCTCGCACTTCTCATGGAGTATGGCTATCAATCTAACGATTTATGGGAAAACAATATGATTTCTTCATTTGAGATTCCTTCAATGAAAACTTTCCGAATGGAATTCATTTCAAAGGGGCCTTCCACTAACTTTGGAAGCCCAGCTCCCGTTCTATGGGAAAAAAATGAAAAGGTGCTGAAATTAGTGGGAGGCGAGGACGCCTCCGAATATCAGGCCTACTCGTTTCCCAAATATTCACAAAGATTTCGGGCCGGGAAACTTCTTGACTCACTCAGTGATTGTACAAGCATTAGCAGAACGTTGATCGGATCTGAAAGACGTGCGATCTGAAAGACGTGTGCGATCAAAATTTTCAGAACAGTTGCAGTGCATCATTTCTAAAGCAATGTTATTTAAAGCCTCCCTACTGCTCATCAACGAAGGAGCCTGTCGGAAGGCGGCGACGGGAGGCATCTGTCGAATCAGAGTCGATGACCATACACGCAAATTCGCTCACAGGTGCTTGATGCGGATTCTTCACAAGGAGGTGGGAGACGCGTTTGGCTGTAAGAACGGGCTGGAGTGAGGAGACCAGAAAGTACTGCGGTTTCAGGACTGACTTGTCTTCTTTGTTGTCGGGTCCTTTCTTGCGTCTTCATCGGCTAGCAACCAAATACAGCACAAAATTATCACCACTGAAAGACGGTAATAAAAGCAAGCGGATCGGACTAATGCAGCGATAACATAGATCTCTGGACGGTTTTAAGTGAGGAGAGTGGAGTCCAGTAGTACGCCCAATGGCCGAACAAAAGCAGGATCCGTCAAAAAATACGCAAATTAGTACCTTGATTTCGACCCTTTCATTTCCGGCACATGATGATACAGGTAAAGAAGAAATTAATCGGAAAGTGTTAACCCCGCGAGGCGCCAAATCATGCAACAAAGCATTAGTGTTCACTGACCGATAGGGGCAAAACGTCGCGAGTTGGAAACATACAGCGATAAAGGCAAAAACGATCTTTACAAAATGGAAAAAGCCAACAGAAAACAGCTCAGATCGAGTCATCAACCGAAACAAGCGGGAGTCCGTAACGTTTCGGGGCGGAATGCTTTCAAATCCTGCTCAGCAACCAGGGCGCCTTTTGTCTTGAAAGCGCCAACATCGCTTCCTTGGCAGCTAAGTAACTGCTTCGCTTGGATGTCTGGACGGGCTGAGGCTCACGACGGCAAGGCTGCTCGATATCAATGGCACAATGAAAACGAACATCGATCGATAAAGATAACTTATGCACGACAATAACGCAGTCGTTGTAATCCCTTTATTATATTTAGTCTGCTAAGATTTCTCTCTCATTTGTTTTGTTTCGAAATTAGAGGGCGGTTCATGCTTGTTCGAGGAATAGCTCGCACAGATATGGCTATTGATCTTCGGGCGACCAGCTTGCTTGTTTCAAGTGCATAGGGTTAGGAGCACAGCTCTAAAATAGAAAGCGAGCAATTTGTCGTGAATAATGCAGTGTGTGCTTAGAAGGGTACCCTATTGTATGGTTATGGACAGAAATTCCGCAAGCGGCCTGGGGGGGCTGTCCCAATGATCCGCGGATGGGATACCTTCCTCGGAATTCTGTTTGGTCCAGACGCTTGACGTGTGTGGCACTCATTGTTGTCCGGCCATTCTCTTAATGCCTTGCGCTACGTTGCTATTCGTGGCATTTCGCATTGCAGCAGCAAACATCTACATCAGAGTGCAATCATCGAAATGGTGATTTAAAGAAATGTTTTATCATGTGAAGGCTGCTCACAAATATTAAATTATAGAGATTGTAGCCTTTTCGGTCAGATCTGACACTATCTGCTTTAATAATATGGAAATGATCCTCTTTTGTAATAAGAACTCCTTCAGAGATACTACTTTGAGGACTCCTTCACACAACCTTGTTGGTAACTTTTCGTCGCTCTCTTTTCAAGCAATCGGTATCTGACAACGAGTGGCAATAGAGTTTGTGTGAACAACTCCTTGTTATCTTAGGCTGTTGACAGCGAAAAGCACTCATTGACCCTTCAAGAAGCCATCGCGCTGGTTCGCAAACGTGAAGAAGGGTTCGCACCCCTCATACGGTAAGAGTAAGTCAGAAGGTGCAGGGGGATGTAGTGTCCGGAGATTCACAGGCCGGCCGGGGCGAAGGCGCATAGTTAAATAAAAGCGGGCACGACTAGAAGCGAAGACTCGAGGTTAACGGCTATTTTTTGACACAGTAAACCATGCAGCTGGTGAGCCAGCCCACTGTTACGGAAACGGGTACAGTGAGCCAAGTGTCTCCCGAAGTGGGAGACTTTACTGCCTCCCCCCCCCCCACTGCACGCCATGATGCCTTAAGGCCTGCCCTCGAAGCGTTATCGTCTATCGAGTAGGTTTCACTCGATCCACTGTGCCAACTTCCCATTTGCTCCATGCGATTTATCGCGACCACTTTCTTTGGCACTGAGGATAAGATGATGCTCACATGACTTCTTTGAATTGTACTTTAGATTCGCGAGCGGTAGGTTCCTTTCATTGCGCACATCCCGCCTACACCCTATCCAACTTTTTGAACTTGTTTGTCCATCTTGGAGACCCCCCCTCGTCGGACTGTGAAGCAATTACTTAGTCCCATACTTCCTCGCGTTCGCGGACATTCACCTGGGTGTGCCATGTCAGCATTACAAAAGGCATTTAGGCATTGCAGGTACACTGAGAGACCAAAATCGTGATGTGGATCAAATCGGTCCGTCAGAATACCTAGTTGTGCAGAGCGTTACGAACCTCTTACATATAGTGGAATATGGAGATACTTGAAGGCATACCTGGCGACCACGCTGGTGTGGTTGTTGCGCACGGAAATACACGTAGGGTGTGAAGTACTGTAGCATGAGGAACAAGGAACAGAGCCTGTCGAAGATGCCAAGGTTTAGAGCAGAGCTTACTCATTTTTTGAATGTGTGTGTGTTCTTGGGTTTGCTGAGTCAAAAAACCACTGAGCGCAGAGGAGAGCACAACGGATGAGAGGGCGCTGAGGCTTGGTTGAATGTTGTGAAAGAAGAGAAATGAAGAAGTAAGCAAACCAGCCCGTTTGGCGTTTCTGC